GTGAGAGTGTATGTGAGTGTGTGAGGAGCAGACACAAGCGGCTGCCGCTGCCAGGAAGCTGCTACGTGGTCGAGGCAAGCTGACAGGCAGGCAGGCAGGCTGAGGTGGAGGGAGGGAGAGAGAGCACGCACGCACGCACGCACGCACGCACGCACGCACGCACGCACACACACACACACACACACACACACACACACACACACACACACACACACACACACACACACACACACTGGAGAAGGCTGAGGAAGACAAGTCACACTGAGGTATTCACTGCAAACATGTTCTTTCTTAACAAGTAGAGCTATTTATGCTGCAGGGCTGTTACAAAAATAAACCTTGACATGAACCCCAAATGTGACACTTAATGAGAAAGAGTGACCTGACTGCACAAGGAAAATTATTTAAACTGTAATTACAGTTTTTTAAAGGCTTATATTTTTGCATAGTGTTAGTGAAAACCAGGGTTGAGCCAGATAGGCTACTTCGATGTGTTCAGTTGGTGGTGGAGGAAGAATACAGATCATGTACTTACTAAGTACTTACTGCATTAAAAATGATACATAAGTGAAGAAACTAAGTATTATGTGCAAGATGTAGGCCTACTTCAAGAATAACATGTGTAAGTACTAAATGCAAAAAAATGTCAAATTTATTTAAAAATACCCCCCAAAATAAAAAAATGAATTACCTAAATGATCTATGATGCAAATTTATTTTCAGGCAATCAGCAAATTGATTCATCGACTTAAATGTTCTCGTAAAAACTGTCGGACAGTTCAATTTATAACAAACCATCCTATTTTATATGTTTTTGTTTCTCTTTTAACTTTTCCTAATCTCTAAAGTACTAAAGTACTCAAATTAAAAGATAAATGTAGTGAAGTAATATGTATGATCTTACCTTTTGAATTGTACTCAAGTACAGTAGGTATAAAGTGGCATAGTTAAACAATACTCAAGTTAAAATATGGGAGTACATTTGCTTAGTTACATTACACCACTGTCGGTCAATGAATACAGATTACATGGATATCATTGGAATATATATTTTCAATGCAAATGAAATGCATTTTGCATACTCAGCATGTACAGTTGGGCAAATCTAATTACCCTCACAAAAACCTCTCAAACTGACACAAACTCCAGGTGCACTTTGTGTATGCTACAACATGTGGGGGGGTGCAGCTTTCTTTTGTTTCAGTTGCTACTGTTTGTTTTGTAAATCAAAGGCCACACACAAGAGGAGTACTTACTCAAAATGTTCATCTCAATAGATCATCCTTTAATAACAAAAACAAATATTAGTCACAATTATCAAAACTGGAAAAGTGAGAGGAGTTTGATATACAGTAGAACATATTTGGGCATTTAGAATTGGTCATAATCATTTGAAAATGACCATACTTTTGAAGGTAAAATATAAAATATAATAAGCCATTCTTAACAATGTAACTGTTATCTAATGGCAATTTTATTTGTTGCACCTATTCATTAACTATGTGAGTCAAGGGTATATACCGGTTACGTTTGGTTAGATTATCTTTTTTAACATCCATAGTTTAAAAGCATTTTGCTGCAAAGAACAGCCAAACTTTATGTGCAGTTTCCTTTTTTTGTGTACGTGCAGTTTTCCTGATCCTTTTTTTCAATCGACACAATGCACATTAGTTTGTCAATAAATTAACAGCAATAAAGTATGAACATGGCATTTAAATCATGGGATTAAAATCTAAGATCGGTCAGACAATAAGAATATAAAGATGATATGAAAAAAGGTAAATCATTACAATTATAGAAAGCTATGAATATAAAGTAAATTGCAGCAATATAGGAAGATAGTCATGTTGCATGCAAAGTGTAAAAACGCTTCTCACACGCTGGGCCACCACCAAAGAAATTCGGATTTATACTAATTAATTTTTTTTTCCTTTTTTCGTAAATAGTATTCTTCATCACATCCCATTTTAAATGCCTACTGGATAATCTAAATGTTGTTTCAAGGCACTTTCTTTTGACTGAAATCATCTAAAATGACAGACACAATACAACATACTTTTATGATAGCTATGGCACTGGTACAGATTAGAAAAATTGTAGTTGTTTGTTTGGGGTATGCATTGGAAGAAAGTAATTGGCAAAAATGTGTTTTCAAAAGCAAATGAAGTCTTCAGTACTGAAAAACAACCCTTTCTCAGGCACTGAGGGCCTGATAAATACAGCGATTTTTCCACACACAGAAGTGACTCGTTGAAAGTGAAGTAAGAAGCAAAGAGTAAACACACTGGATTACAGCTTCCTAACTTTACTGGACTGAACCAGTTCTTTTTGGCCTCTCTATTAGACAATTGGAAAACATCATAGTCCTTTTTTTATTGGATTATCAATGTATTTTAGATTTTGAATATTGTTCAGTATTGTGACATGGCATTTTCACACTTTTTTGGGCATATTCCTCTACATCTGTGTTCTCTAAACAAATAGGTCCACTGAATCTCGTGTACTGTTGTCACACTAAAGCTGTACCCCTTTGATGTGACTGTCGTATTGGTGGTGATGGTTAATGTAGTGAATTGAAGCAAACATTTTGTAGGATATTGACCTAGAAAGCTAAATACTCATGCTTGCAGCGCAGCTCACTTTATTTTAGGATGTTATTTTCATAGTTAAATTGTAGCTTGTTTGCCATACGATGAAAGAGGCCAAGTAAGTTCTGCTTTTTTAACGGCATCTATATGGCCACTGGCTACCCAGAGGCAGCGACTAGAAACAGAAGTTATAACTGTTCTTCGTTGACTCGCTGTCACGTCAAATGACGGCACTAATTACAGTTACAAATGTTGCAGCTGTGAACTTAACTTTCTCTTTCAATATAGCAAGCACTGAGGAACGTATTGCTTTAAACGCCTATATTTACCAATAGGGGAGAGTGGGGTAAGATGAGCCACTTTTTAAAATGTTGTCTTGTAGGCAAGGAGAAATTAGATAGAAGTCAAAGGACAACAACAACCTTTATTTCAGGATGTCTTCTGTCAATCAAAAATGATAATGATGCATTTATCACAAAGGGCCATTAAATTGGATTTCTGAAAAAAGGGTTTCCCCCATCTAAAGGGTTGGTTGATCCGCGTCAAGGGGTCAATGGAGACAACTCGGGGTAAATTGACCAATTGACGTTTTCAAGTTGAACCTGCATTAGTACAAAAATATATATCATCCTTTTTCTGGTCTCTGCGCTGTATTGACACCTCGTCAACATTATATAAATCATCTTTGGAGGGACTTAATGCCAGTAAAACAAAAAAAGAGCCAGATCAGAATCAGAATGAACTGAACTGCCCTAAAAATATCCTTGTAAATGTAGTAGGTAAACACATGTACCAGTCTGTTGTATTTTTACTGATTTATCTAGGCTATTCATTGATAGTTATTAATGTTATCAAATGTGTTTATTCTCTCATCCGTCTATTACTTCAGCCAGATTGTCAAATAACTCCTGCCAGGCATACGGCAGGAAGGATGGTGAGTTAAAATGATTGAACCAATCTAGACCTAAAAGAATAGAAATCATTCTATCAAGATTCTGTATTTAGCAAGACCAGTTCCCTTAGCTGACCTGCTGGATCATGTGATGTCTTGCACACCCTGCTAAACCCCGTTTCTCTCCAGTTGTTTGGTACAGGGATGTTGTTGTTTTTACAATGTTTAAAACATCAAAAACAAATCAGTTGTGTAAAACTACACTGAAATAGCATTTTATACAGAGAATTAACTTCAGTGCTCCATGGGGGCTTAAATTGAACCACTAGCTCAATTGAACCCAAATCATGTGGCTCACTTTGCCCCACAGCCTCTTTTTGGAGAAAACTGTCTAGAAAAGTCATTCATGGTAATCTTCTCAAGCTAAATAAATAACCAACATCTACGATACATATTTATAAACCTGGTTACATTTGCTTTGACATAACAGTAATTATACGTGTTGAAATGTACAAGCTAAACATGGTTTGTTGTGAAAGAAACATTTACCACTTCAACATGTGCTTCTCTCCATCACAGCCACATAGAAAAGATGGGTGCTTCCTGAATTGACAACAAATGTGCACAGTTCCCTAAATAAAGGGGGTGGGTCCACTTACTCATCTTACCCCTCTCTCCCCTAACACTGTTTGGACATTGACATGAAAGGTGTCAAACTTTAGTTTAAATGTCGCCTATTATACTGTTTTTAATCAATATAATATAGGTCTCAGATATATACAAAACATGTCTCCGAAGAGTTTGGCTCCAAATACTAAACAGATCACTGCAGCATCCCACAATCCCCTCTGTTTCAGCCCTGTTTCAAAAGTACTTATTCTCTGTCTGTTACTTTAGATGAAATTGAGGAGCCACTCCCCACGCCCCTTATATATTTGGTTAAAAATAACACAATGGGAGGAGATTCAGGTGAAAAAG